GTTGCTACTCACAGCAGCACAGCAGTTGTCAGCAGTTGGCACAGCAGTTGGCAGCAGTTGGCACAGCAGTTGGCAGCAGTTGGTACAGCAGTTGTCACAGCAGTCAGTTTACAGCGTGAAGAATTTTGTAGCACGAAGCGTTGTTTTGTACACAAAACATCGGGTTTTGTACACAGCATCAAAGCGTCGTTTCGTACACAGCGTCGGCAGATTTCCAGATTCCTCAGTACACAGCTTGTCAGCACAGCTTGGGTAGCACACAGCATTGGTTAGCACACAGCATTGGTTAGCACACAGCATTGGTTAGCACATAGCATTGGGTATGGTGCTCACAGACAGCTTCTCTTCCTCCTCTGGGGGCGAGACAGCAAGCTTCTCCCTTGTGTTTTAAGCTGAACAAATACCTGCGTTCACAGTTCATCCTCGTCGCCAATGTGGTGTTGTGTGTTACTGAGGAAGTCTTTGTTGTAGGGTTGATATAAAGTCATTGCTTGGTTATTGACTTTAATACTTAAACTGATACATGACTAGTAGCTTCCAAGCTTGGCGGGCGTCCTGTACGCTCTTGTTTACCTTCCTTGGCGTCTGAGCCGCCGCACATAGAAAACGGATGGTACCGTTTTCTGTGAACATGACAGTAACTAGTGCCCAGACACAGGAACTAGACGCCTCTACTGTAAGATAACTAGTGGGAAAATGCAAGTAATGTAATCTAACAAGTAAACAAAACAAATTAAGAGTGCGACACGTGGTAGCAACACTTCCAGTCCATACAGCCTCCTCCAGGCCTATCTCAATTGGTAAACACCCACGGTCAACCCCCAACCGTCAACATCCCACCTTGTAAGACCTTGTAAGACCACCACCACTGAACAGAAGTGTTCAACAAAAATGTATTTGATAAAAACGTGCATAGAATGCAACATGAAGGTAGATTACCAACAGAGCTTTCAATGCCAACTCTGTTCAGCAGCCATACACAAAAAATGTGCCAACATGACTAGTAATTCAAGGAGAAATGGTCCCAGTGACCACTCTGTGTACTGGCTCTGCAAAAAGGATGATGTAACTTTTTTGAAGATGATGGAAATCCTGGATAAAACTCCCGCAGAAAACAGAGAATTACTAATAAATGCCTGCATAGCAATTTCTAATGTCTTCAAACAAACTGTACATGACACCAAGGTACAACCAGATGCGGCACAGAGCTCGGTGGCAGCAGCGCCTGAGCAGAGCGGGGAGTCGGGGACGCCTGAGCAGAGCGGGGAGTCGGGGACGCCTGAGCAGAGCGGGGAGTCGGGGACGCCTGAGCAGAGCGGGGAGTCGGGGACGCCTGAGCAGAGCGAGGAGTCGAGGACGCCTGAGCAGAGCTGGGAGTCGGGAAAGCCTGAGCAGAGCGGGGAGTCGGGGACGCCTGAGCAGAGCGCGGTGTCGATGGCACCAGAGCAGAGCGCGGTGTCGCAGGCCCCTGAGCAGAGCACAGTGTCAGGGACGCCGCAGCAGGGTGCGGTCCCTGGCAAAGGGACACAAACAAAACAAGGCCCCAAAATCTGTTGGTATTACAAATGGGCAACTTGGAAACATGGGATATCGGGAAGAACAAATGGAACATGTAAGTACGATCACCCTAGAACGTGCAGAAACCTCCTCAATACAGATAAATGTACCAAAAGCTGTGAATTCTTTCACCCAGAAATTTGCAAGAACTCTCTGGACAGGAAAGAGTGCTTCAATGCTGAATGTCCAGCTTTTCATATAAGAGGTACCAGGCGAATAAAACCGACAGACCGCCACTATGAAAACAGCCACTACTCCATCGACCGGGATAATCTTTTAGCAAGAGGAGGAGAAGAATGGCTAAAAATGACCAGACTCTACCACCAACTCGGTCAAATGCTAGAGAGGACGCAAACACAGTGGCCTCCTTACCAGAGCCTCAGATATTAGCACCAAGTAAGGCATCAAGCACTTCCACTAACACGGTAACATCATTTATATTTCCCAACATCCAGGGTATAAAAATACGCAAATCCAACAAAGTTCACTTTATAGATGGTCTCCTGCATGAGGCAAATGCAGTGTTTGCAGCCCTAACAAAAACTCACACAAAGGACTTCCATGATGGGGAAATATGGATCTCAGAGTACAATCTTTTCAGATGTGATAGGAAACACCGGCTTCAGGGTGGGGTCAGCCTCTACATCAAAGACACACTCATCTGTATTGAGCTGCTAAACACCTCAAATGATATGGTGGAAGTGCTGATAATCAAAATAGAGATCCTAAATGTAGTTATTGTCCTTGTATATAAGTCACCGGAGGCAAACCCTCAGCAGTTTAAAGACCAACTAATGAAAATAGAACACTGCTTGGAAAACCTCACAAATCCAGCTCCGAACATCATCCTGCTTGGGGACTTCAACCTACGGCACCTGAAATGGAAGCACCTGGCTAATACAGTAATATCAGAAAGAATACCAGGAAGTAGCCTAAATGAACAGGCACATGCAAATGACCTGCTACGGATGTGCGACAGGTTTGCCTTAAACCAGCAAATAGTAGAACCCACTAGGAAGGAGAACACGCTGGACCTCATTTTCACTAATAATGATTAATTGATCAGGAACATAATGATTACAAATACCTGTTACTCAGATCACAACTTAATTGAAGTCATGACAACCATAAGGAATAGACCTTCAAAACCAGTCCAGATTCCCGGTGGAGGAGATTTCAGCAAATTCAACTTCAATAATAAACAGATAAACTGGGAGCAAATAAACCAGGACTTCACAGAAATAAACTGGGAAGAACAGCTAGAAAATGCAAACCTGAACCAGTGCCTGGAAAAAAATAAGCTCAGTAGCACTAGAAATATGTTCAAACCGCATACCCCTAAGAAAAAAAGAGGAAGAGATGCAGATTGGAACGGGAACGTCGTTCCCTATATAGGCGAAGAAAACGAATCGCGGAACAACTTGAGAGTCGCACCCTATCTCAAGAACGGCGAAGAAGGTTAGGTAGAGAAATAGAAACAATTGAATTCAAGCTACAAGAATCATACAAAACCCAGGAGAGGCAAAGAGAGCAAAAAGCTATCATTGAAATAGAGAGAAAGCCGAAATATTTTTTCTCCTATGAAAAATCAGGATAAAAAACCACATCTAGTATCGGGCCCCTGCGAAAGGGAGATGGAATTTTCACCGATGACAACAAAGAAATGAGCGAGCTACTGAGGAAGCAGTACGACTCTGTTTTCAGTGAGCCATTAAACGCACTAAAGATTGATAACCCAAATGAATTTTTCATGGATATGATACCAACACCAAATCATATATCAGCCGTCACCCTATCCCCACTGGATTTTGAAGAAGCCATAAACAGTATGCCTATGCACTTTGCACCAGGCCCGGATTCTTGGAACTCCATATTCATCAAGAACTATAAAAAAACCACTATCGCAGGCCCTCCACATTCTGTGGAGACAAAGCCTAGATATTGGCGTTATTCCTGATATACTAAAAACAGCAGAGATAGCACCACTTCATAAAGGAAGAAATAAAGCAGAGGCAAAAAATTACAGACCGATAGCACTAACATCGCACATCATAAAAAATTTTGAGAGAGTGCTAAGAAGTAAGATCACAAAATACATGGAATCACAGCATCTCCATAACCCCGGACAACATGGTTTCAGAACAGGGCGCTCTTGCCTGTCACAGTTGCTGGACCACTATGATATGGCATTAGATGCTATGGAAGACAAACAAAACGCTGATGTAATTTACACAGATTTCGCAAAAGCTTTTGATAAATGTGGCCATGGTGTTATTGCACATAAAATGCGTTCAAAAGGAATTACCGGAAAAATAGGCAGATGGATTTACAATTTCCTGACTAACAGAACCCAATGTGTAATAGTCAACCAAATAAAATCCAGCCCATCAACCGTGAAGAGCTCAGTCCCCCAGGGTACTGTGCTTGCTCCAGTACTTTTTCTCATCCTCATATCGGACATAGACAAGAACACAACCTATGGCACTGTATCATCCTTTGCAGATGACACTAGGATCTTCATGAGAGTTGGCAACATAGAGGACACGGCAAACCTCCAATCAGATGTAGAGCAGGTCTTTCTATGGGCTACGGAAAATAATATGGTGTTTAACGAAGATAAGTTCCAGCTCATGCGCTATGGCAAAAATGAAAACAAAAACGGAAACCACGTACAAAACTCAGGCAAATCATAACATAGAACGGAAAGGGAACGTAGAGGATCTGGGTGTACTCATGTCGGAAGACCTTACCTTTAAAGAACACAATAAAGTAGCTGTCACAATTGCAAGAAAAATGACAGGTTGGATAACAAGAACTTTTCACACTAGAGATGCTATACCGATGATGATACTTTTCAAAACGCTTGTGCTCTCTAGAGTGGAGTACTGCTGCACAATGACAGCCCCTTTCAAAGCTGAAGAAATTGCTGACCTGGAGAGCGTGCAGAGATCCTTTACTGCTAGAATCCACTCAGTAAAACATCTAAGCTATTGGAACCGACTAAAGAGCCTAAATCTGTACTCCCTTGAGCGCAGGCGGGAGAGATACATAATAATTTAAACGTGGAAAATATTAGAGGGGCTGGTCCAGAACTTGTACACAGAAATAACATCACATGAGACCAGAAGACATGGCAGGATGTGCAGAATACCCCCGTTGAAAAGCAGAGGTGCAACAGGTACTCTGAGAGAGAACTCTACCAACATCAGAGGCCCGAGACTGTTCAACACGCTTCCGCTACACATAAGGGACATAACTGGCAAACCCCTCACAGTGTTCAAGAGAGAACTGGATAAGCACCTCCAAATGATACCTGATCATCCAGGCTGTGACTCATACGTCAGGCTGCGAGCATCCGCGTCCAACAGCCTGGTTGATTAGTCCAGCAATTAGGAGGCCTGGTTGACGACCGGATCGCGGGGACGCTATGCCCCGGAAGCACCTCAAGGTAAGGTGCACTTCAGCGTCTGATGGAACCTCTCCAAAGCCTTTTGCGACTCGGGATGGTAGGCACTAGATGTAATATGCTGGATCTCAAGGTCGGCAATCTGTTGACGAAATAAGACAGTGGTCGAAACAACCGAACCAACTGCAGGTTTAGACACTACATTATTTGAGGGTGACAACCCTGTCTGCTGTTTCTCAATCTTTGGCTTTACAGGAGAAGAGTTCAGGGGAGTAGGCGAGTTAGCTGGTCTGGCCTGGAAAATATGAGATTTAGGAACATGATAATTACTCTTAGAATTATATGTATTTGATTGTGCTCGAAAAGACCCCTTAGTGAGTAGTTCGTGTTCGTCTGCTAGCTTGGCTAGTTTCATAATGTCATTGGTCTGTTTATGTTCAGCTATAAACAAGGCTAATTTCTCTGGTAGACAACCTAAAATCTCCTCTGTCACTATGTGGTTTCACAAAGTTTCAAAATCTGTTATGGAAAATGCTTTTACCCATTTATCAAAATGATTCATTTGAACTCTTGCAAAATCAGAAATGGTCTGATCATGTGCTCTTTTTATACCTCTAACTTTCTGTCTATGGGCCTCTGGGATATGCTGGTATGCATTTAAGATACTCTCTTGGAAAACTTTAAAGTCAAAAGAATTAGCAGCAGAAAGAGATGGAAAAATTTCCTGGGCTTTCCCCTTAAATTGTCCCTGCATGATGGCAACCCATTGATCCACAGGCCAATTCATACTGACTGCTAACTTCTGGAAACGCAAAAAGAATATTTCTGGGGTCCTCCTCATTGAATTGAGGTAAATCTACATTTTTCCTAAACTTAAAAGAACTATCAGTACTATGTGTATGATTACTAGTGTTACCATGCCCTGCTGCAATTCTCTGTTCCTCTAGTCTATTATTATTTATTGCTATACTCTGTTGAATTTCCTATTGCTGCCGCCTAACTTTCTCTAGTTGCAACTCAGCTTCAATTCTTCTGCTCTGTGCTTCTAGTTCCACTTGTTTTTGTTGGTTTTGAGCTTCAATCTCAAGTTGTTTTTGCTGGTTCTGAGCCTCGAGCATCTGCTGCTGAGTCTCCAACTCCAGCTGTTTTTGGTGATTCTGCATCTCCAACCTCTGTTTCTCTGCTTCTATCTTAGCCATCTCTAGCTTAGATTCCATCTCCAACTTTAGAATTGCCACCTGGTCACTTGACTCTTCTTCTGATTCCTCTAACTACTCCTCGTCAAGTTTCTCCTCCTTCACCAAGTGTGTGACAATGACTCTTACTAGCTGAGCCTTTAACATTCTCCTGGAAAATGTCGTATTTAATTTTTCAGCCATGTACAACAACTCAGACTTCTTCAAGTTTTTAATTTCACCAAGATTTGGCTGTTCCACCAACACAGCAACTTGTTCCTCCATTGTCAGCTTAATTAACACAACTAGCAATTACAACAACACTGAAGGTTTACTTGGCCCCTGGCACAAGCTGTATACTTACCTCAATCGTGAAGTGTTGAGATAACTTCCACAAGCAGCTCAGAATGAAACTGAAAAGTGGTACACAGGCTTGGTTAGGTATCACTAGTTAACCACACAGTACCTAGAAAGGCATTAACAATTAATAACATGCACCACTATTTTGTTCATTAAATTATGGGAATCAATTATCAACATAGGCCCTCATTTTGTTATGACCCTTGACCTCTGGGTATGGTTCCTCTGTTTGCATTGTAAAAATAATTATATAATAATACGGTCTTGCCTACTGAAAGTGTCTAGGGTAAATAAGCCAACTACTTACTCAACAAAGCAATATACTTAAAGTAAGGGTAACAAAGAACATTCAAACGAAAATACAAGCAGCCAGAAATATTAATGCACCAGAATACAATAACAATATCATTATATAAGCACTGATCACTATTTTAGAAACTTAAATGGATAGATGGGTGTGCACATAATGGTCTAACCAGGAAATCAGCTATGTTACTAAACAATAAACAAGTACCACAGACTTATCTCACAACATGTCCATTCCAGCCAGCTCCACCCACGCGACTGGCGTTGCTGAAGCATGCACGGCATGGTGTCTACAAGTTACCAACTAAAACCCACATGAAACCTCTAGATACCCTGCTATCGGAGAATAATACTTATGAACATAATTATAACTAAACTTATATGCCTATAACACTGCTAAGGTGTAAATAAGAAATTAAAACACTGGTGAAATTAGGCTGTAAACATCTCACACCTTGCAGCACTGTACATGTGTAGATTCTCTACCTCCTATTCTAGGATTGAAATAATTTGTTTTGACAAATTTGCACAATGCAGTGTGATGCTTGCCCCTTCTACATGTATTGAAGGTGTTCAGTGGGGGTGTCACAGCTGTTAAGATTATGTGATTTCAAACACCTAGTACATTTGTGTAACTGTTTGAGTCTTCTGACTCGTGTGCCTCTATTAGGAAAATTAGTTCATTTGTTCAGAGAGTGGTTTTGATTGCAAAACAAACATGACCCCAATCCTACAGTTCGTTTAGGGGACACCTGTTTAGGTGAAACTGCAACTGCAGGTTGTGAAGATTTTGCTCCTTGCATTTGCTTGTTAATTATTCTCTTGCGAGTACTTGTTGTACTCTGGGGATCAATTATTGGGCTCTTGCGAGCACTTGTTGGACTTTTGGGTCTCTTGGTAGCGCTTGTGGTGCTCTTAGGTCTTACTGATAAATCAGTGTTTGACCTGCTATATTACATTGATTATTAATACCCTTATTACCTAATGACAGTGTCACTTCAGGAGTTTCATGCAAGGAAATTGATGTGGGTACAGTTTCTGTGCATTAGAAAAATTATTAAATGCCTGGTTTGCTGATTCATTTATTATATTGCGCAAACCTGCGAATATACCCTGCATTGACAGGACAGTACCATTCTGGTATGTATATAATTCATTGAGTATCTCACCAGACAATTTTCTCTGGATGATAATTTTAGTCATACACTCAGCAGTGGGGTGATGCACCTTTTTACTGAAGGAATTTAACAGTGACTCAAGCTGAAAACTAAACGCTTGTAAGGAGTCAACTGATTGTTCTGGTTGAGATAAATCTAGTAATTGGTGTACAAGGATTATAAGTCTTCTCATTGTCAGCACTTGCTGTAGGAGGTTGGTTTGAGTAATTATGACTTACTTGTGTTGCTTAAGGCTTCTTGCTTAGCCTCAGCTTTAATTACAGCTTCAGCTCTATTTTCATTTTCTGGTTCAGATTAACTGGCTGTTGCAGCTTCACTTGAAGTTTCATCTGCAGCTTCACTTATTTCTCTGGGTTCATGGGAGAGACTGGTTAATTCAGTAAAATCCTGTATTGAATTTACAGAACCAAGGATCTAATTTAATTAGGAGGATTCTCCTCATTTGGAGGTAGCTCATGTATTTCACCTGAGCTGAGTGCTTGCTTGGGTATAGGTGTACTATAAAAATGTTCTGCTCCAGCAAGAACATTTGCTGTTGCAAGCACTTTGTTATAGTGATCTAACTTGTCTTGAATTATATCTTCATAGTCGGCAAGGTCAGATTCTATCAGACTTAATTCGCCTGGGTCAGTATCATTGACAAGAAGTATGTGTCTATAAGACTCGATTATACTCTTGACAAAGTCATATTTTTGGCTAGCCACTTTTGTGGAAATTATTAGCCTGGAAATGTTAACTGGGTTAGTTCTTAAACAGTTGTCACATTTATTGAGTAGTCTTGTTAAATGACTTTGAAGACCTTTCAAAGTTCTTCCAGTCTTTTCTGGACAAGCCATGCTGGCTGTGAGTTAGAACCTCATAGGGCTTATATAGCTACTTTGACAGCTATGGTACTTGCTCATACATGTAGAGCAGGTATAGTTATTGACAGCTTAATATTTTCTTAAATGGGCTGATTTTAATTTACCTCATTTGGAGGTTAGCTACCTATCTATATATATAAAAATGGAAATGTTCATTTGTTCAAAATTGCTAATCTCCGAAAGTTCTTCACCGATTGTTTTGAAATTTTCACACAATGTTCCATTTGCATCCGGCCAGGTTTTTATATACATATTATATAGATGTCACGTCTGTGGCGGTAAAAAAATGTTTTTTTCTGAAAAACTGTGTTTTTCATGTGTTTTTCATGCAAGAGAAATCTTCGAAACCTCTTTACCGATTGTTTTGAAATTTTGACACAAAGTTGCATTCGAATAGGCACGCCTTTTTATATATCTACTATATACATGCCTCACCTGTGACAGGAAAAAACATTCTTTTTTGGAAAAACAGTGCTATCTGTTGGACGTAAGAGCAACACACACTGTAATCTCCAAAAGTTCTTCACCAATTGCTTTGAAATTTTGACAAAACATTGCATTCGAATAGGCGCGTCTTTTTATATATGTACTATATAGATGCCACCCATGTGACAGGTAAAAACACACGTTTTTTAAAAACAGTGCCATCTGCTGCACACAATTGCAACATTCACGCTGTACTAAGTATGTCATGAATTCCATTTCAATGTTTCCGATTGCACTGATAAATTTTATTTGCATAGATTTCGATTTATTATATTTTTTATTGGTTTATTTTGTGTGACATTGTGTTGGAATTAAGCTGTATTGTTGACCATATCATTCATTTCTTTAGTATAAGTACAGATGCCACACCTGTGACTGGTAAAACTATGCTTTTCTTGAGAAACAGCGCCATCTGTTGCATGTAAGAGCAACACACATGCTATACTAAATATGTAACAATTGCATTTCAATGTTTCTGATTGCATTGATAAATTGAATTTTCATAAATTTTGACTTATTTTCGTTTTGATTTAATTATTTTGAGTGAATTGTGTTTTAATTGAGCTGTGTTGTTTACCATACTGTTCATTTCGTGAGTATAGTTTACTTTTTTTTTCATATTTGCATTTCATTTTTCAACTATTTTTCTTATATTTCAGTGATGGGAACATCAGATCATTTGGGAAGGCATCGAACGAAGGAGTGGGGAATAGTGGGGATGATGAGGGGACGGAAGTGAGAGATGGTGGGAGGACGAAGGGACAAGGGAAGGGGTAATAGTGGGGAAGGACGAGAGGACGGGGGAGTTTGGGATGGTGGGGACATGGGGATGGGGGAATGGAGAATGGTGGGGAGGACAAAGGGACAGGGAAGTGGGGAATGGTGGGGAGGACGAGGGGACGGTGGAGTTGGGAATAGTTGGATGGCCGAGGACACGGGTGAGGAGAGAATGGTTGGGAGGACTGGGGGACAAGGAAGGTTGCTGTGGCTCAGAAACGCACAAAAATTGAAAAATCTATTCTCCAAAATTCATTTTTATTTCTAGTCTGACGCGACACTTGAACGCGTTTCGTAATAACTTATTGCATTTTCAAAGACTTTAGTTTACACACACACAACTATAACCTGCAAACACTAAACAGAGTTCTACTATGCTATCATTTAAACAGCTTTCATCTTATATACCCGCATTTTGGTGAGGTGATATGTTACAACAGTTTTCGATGAAGTGAACAAAACTATCAACACAAGATAGAGCATACACACATATGATTTTTCAATTACCGTCGACATTGAAAAGAAACATAAGAAATATTGAGAAAATTCGTGTTAGAATTATTAATTTTACTTTTTCGGTCATATTTAATAATATATATATATATATATATATATATATATATATATATATATATATATATATATATATATATATATATATATATATATATATATATATATATGTCGTACCTAGTAGCCAGAACGCACTTCTGAGCCTAATATGCAAGACCAAATTTGCCTAATAAGCCAAGTTTTCCTGAATTACTATATTTTCTCTAATTTTTTTCTTATGAAATGATAAAGCTACCCATTTCATTATGTATGAGGTCAATTTTTTTTATTGGAGTTAAAATTAACGTAGATATATGACCGAACCTAACCAACCCTACCTAACCTAACCTAACCTATCTTTATAGGTTAGGTTGGGTTAGGTAGCCGAAAAAGTTAGGTTAGGTTAGGTTAGGTAGGTTAGGTAGTCGAAAAACAATTAATTCATGAAAACTTGGCTTACTAGGCAAATTTGGCCTTGCATAGTAGGCTGAGAAGTGAGTTC